CCACCCTCACAGGGCGGAATTTCTTCCCAATGTCTCACATAACCCTGCCCTGTGGCAGTGGGAAGCCATTCCCCCTTGTCCTGGCACTACATCAGGGCTGGGGAGAGGGCAGGAGTGGGGCTTTCAGGATGCACAGAGTGGGTGCTTTTGGGAGCCACAGGATAGGAGGCATGGGATGGGGGATTTTGGGAGCCACAGGATAGGAGGCATGGGATGGGGGATTTTGGGAGGCACGGGATGGGGGATTTTGGGAGCCACAGGATGGGGGATTTTGGGAGGCACGGGATGGGGGATTTTGGGAGGCATAGGATGGGGGATTTTGGGAGGCACGGGATGGGGGGTTTTGGGAGGCATGGGATGGGGGATTTTGGGAGGCACAGGATGGGGGATTTTGGGAGGCAGAGGCCAGTTGAGCTGTGCCACCTAAAGGCAGAGTCTTTGTGCATCAAGGCCAAACCCAGACCCCAGCTGTGATCCATCCCAGAGCAGAGCTGAGAGATGCACCCACTCTTTGAAATGTGGTTGACATTTCCAAACTGGAGGAAATAAAGTTCAGGCTGTCACCTGAAGAAGTCCTGTTGGCACTGTCGCAGGGCAGTGATCCTCAGGGATCACTCACTTCCCATGTTTCTCCAGAAGCTTTTCAGGGTTCCTGCTAACGAGCACCCACGTCCTCCACAGGTACTTCCTGCTCTGTGTGAACTATTTCTTCTATGGTGAGACGGTGACAGATTATTTCTTCACCCTGGTGCAGAGGGAGGAGCCCCTGCGGATCCTCAGCAAGTACCACCGCTTCATCTCCTTCGCCCTCTACCTGACAGGTACACACAGTTCTGCTGCTTCACCCTGGGAGGAAAGCCTGGAATTATTCTTACCCTGAGTGCTGTGTCCAGTGCAGTGTCCATGGCAAACCATCTCTGCTCTCCAGGGATGCTGTGACTTGGCTCAGGGGGAGAGCAGTGGTGGCAAATCTCCCACACGGGGCTGTGTAGGAAAAAACTCCATAATATGTATGGGACAGCCAGATTGTTCCCCTCTCCAAGGGATACCTGTAGGCAATGGTGTGACTTCCAGAACAGTGCTTTCCCTACTTAACATTGTTCTTTTATTTAAGTAAAAGCCTCATCAGCTGTACAATGTCATGGTACAAAATTATTTGACTGTGGGAGGTACATTCCCACCTTTGACTTTTCTTCTGTCTCTCCTCAGGTTTCTGTATGTTTGTCTTGAGCCTGGTGAAGAAACACTATCGCCTCCAGTTCTACATGGTAAGGTTAAATTTAGGGCCTGATGGGTTAAGTTCAGGGCCTGGTAAATTCAGGGCCTGGTGAGATTAAATTCAGAGCCTTGTAAAGTTGAGTTCAGGGCCTGGAAAGGTTAAATTCAGGGGCTGGTAGATTAAATTCAGGGCCTAGTGAGATTAAATTCAGGGCCTGCTGGGTTAAGTTCAGGGCCTGGAAAGGTTAGATTCAGGGGCTGGAATGGTTAAAGTCAGGGGCTGGAAAGGTTAAATTCAGAGCCTAGTAGGTTAAATTCAGGGCCTGGCTATTTAAATTCAGGGGCTGGTAGGTTAAATCCAGGGCCTGAATGGCTGCCCCCAGTTGGAGGCACAGGTAGGAATAATTTAGGCTGTTTGAAAACACGTGGAGGTCTGTGTGTCAGCAGATGCTCCTAAGCTGGTTGTGCATTGTCCTGCTGCCTGGAGGGAAGGTGACTGAGAGCAGACTGTGTTTTTAGGAAGCTGACTGACAGAATTCCCCTTCAAACATGTATTCCCTTCCCTTTGCACTTGTGGATGCTGTGAAGAAGCTTCCTGCAAGCTGAGAGGGCTGTACAGGGCTGGTCCTGAGGATAGGTTGACTTTGTCTCCCTCTTCCCAGACATCAGTGAGGTGTTTCTCATGTGTGCCCATTCACACAGCTGGCTTTGCTCTCCAAAATATTCAACAAACAGGGATATCTGTTAGTCTTCTGCTCTTCTTAAGCAGTCAGAAATCTGAGTGAGGTGTATGGGATAGGGTGGGTTAAAGAGCATTTGCTCCAGCAGAAGTTCCCAGTGAAGGTCACAAGTGGGATTGAGCTGGAGAACTTGCCCATAAGTTCCTCAGGGTGACTGTCCCCTGATCTTTGTGACTGTTGCTGTTGGTCCTGGTGGAGGTGCCTGCCAGGAGTGCCCTTTGCACAAGCAGCTCTCTGAGGGAGCTCACAGCCCCTGAGCTCTGCCCCCAGAGCAGGGCAGTGTCCCTGGGCAGGCTGGACTCCACCCTCTCTTCTCTTCCAGTTCGGATGGACCCACGTGACATTGCTGATCGTTGTCACCCAGTCCCACCTCATCATTCACAACCTGTTTGAAGGGATGATCTGGTGAGTTTGCTCTGACTTCTGAGTGCTTTATTTTTTGCAGCCTGAGATGACTGACTGTGTTTTCATAGAATCCCAAGATGGTTTGGGTTGGAAGGATCTTAAAGACCATCCAGTGCCACCCCCTGCTATGGGCAGGGACACCTTCCACTAGCCCAGGTTGCTCCAAGCCCAGTCCAACCTGGCCTGGAACAGTTCCAGGGATGGAGAGTCCACAACCTGTCTGGGCAGCCTGTGCCAGTGGTGTGCCAGCTCCTCATTTCATCCTAATATCTAATCTTTTTTTGATCTTAATACTCAGTTTTGAGTTAAAACTGTTCTTTTACAAAAGCAAATGGCTGAGGAGAAGGTGCTCCCTGTGAGGGACCTGTCCAGAACAGAACAGCAAAAGATTGAGTGACACCTCAGTGACTTAGGACTTGCTTTGTGCCACTAGAGAGACGTTGTAAAGGAGCATCTGACAATGTGTATGGGATGCAGGGACCTTTCAGGTGGTGTCAGGCCCGGGTAGATGCTTTCTCTTGATAGCCACCCCTGGCAAATGGATGGGAAATGCTGCTGGGTTTGGGGCTGGGCTGTGGAAGGAGGGAGGTGGAACCTCCCACCTCACTCCAGCTGGTGTGCAGAGGGGAAGCCCCTTTGGTGGTCTTGCCAAAACCAGCAGGGCCAGGAACTAATTTGGGCCACTTTAGTACTGCACATTCCTCTGTGTGTCACAGCCAGCCCAGGGGGCTCGGGGAGCCTCCTGCTTTCTGCTCCAATGGGGCAGGGAGGTCAGTGTCCAGCAGCATGTCGTGTGTGATGAAAGACAATGTGCTTGAAACAGGCCATTCTGGGTGCACAACCCCCTCTTTAGTCCAGAACACTTGAGTAACCCCCAGATTTGCCTTGGAGCTCCAAGTGGGTGCTCCTCGCATTGCCCTGGAGGAGGAAGCGTTGGTGTGCTGGCCCTGCAAAGCCCCTTGTCATGGCAGCTGCTCGTTAAGTCTTGGAGTTGTCTGGTCTTGGCACTTCCAGTGGTTTGATCCCTCTGCCCTGCAGGTTCATTGTGCCCATCTCCTGTGTGATCTGCAATGACATCATGGCCTACATGTTCGGGTTCTTCTTCGGCCGCACGCCGCTCATCAAGGTCTGTGACATTTCGGGGAGCAAAACATGGATTTAGGCTTCTTTGGGCCTTGGGCCCGTGTTCCCTCAGCTCCTGCTGTGGGTCTGAAGCAAGCCTCCACATTAAACCTGATGTGCATCCCAGCCTGGGAGGCTATAAAATTAAATAATAGAATATTGAGGTTGGAAGGGACTTTTAAGATCATCGAGTCCAACTGTGAATGAATGAGAGGTTTAAGACTGAAATGTTGGTGGCAGCTTCTGACCAAACTCTTATTTGGGGATGGTGGCACCAGCTTGTATTGGCCTCAGCAGTTCACAAGTGAGGAAGGGCTGCAGAGGTGTGTAAATAATGACCTCCTCCTCTTTCTCTCGGGCAGCTCTCCCCAAAGAAGACCTGGGAGGGTTTTATTGGAGGATTTTTTTCCACTGTTTTGTTTGGATGGCTGGTAAGTTGGTGCTTATTTCATTGATCTTTTCCCTTCATGGAGTGACAGTGTTTTGTCTAGAAAATGCAGTCAGGCTTTAATCTCTGCCAGCTCTTGTCAGAGACTTCACCTTTTCCTTGCTGACCAGAGTCTGAATTGGTCCATGGCTGTGTGCAGACACTGGGGGAAGCTTTTAGTCCCTGATAAACCCTGTGACGTGTTCATTGCAGGGGGGATTTGGATGGGTGCTGTGCATTGTTTCACAGGCTGTGTAGGGAGTTCTGTGCTCTTGGAGTGTTCTAACTAGTTTTATGACCATCTCTGACTGCCTGTTGCTGTCCCCTCAGCAAGGGGGTGCAGCCTGGCTCAGCTCTGACACTCCTTGCTGAGCAGATGCTCTTACTCTGCCTTTAGCCAATTACTGCTGCTCAGGAGGGTAATCTCCTTAGGGAAGCTGGAGTGTGGCTCCCTCCTGTCCTCATCTCCTTGCATGGCCTTTTCTGTGAGATCAGCTCTGCTACTTCCCTCAGGAAAATATTAATCCTGTTTTCTTTGCCACGTCTCCCCCCGTGTCCCCTTGGAGCTGTCCTATGTGATGTCTGGGTACCGCTGCTTCACCTGCCCCGTGGAGTTCAACAACGATACCAACAGCTTCACGGTGGACTGTGAGCCCTCCGAGCTGTTCCAGCTGCAGGAGTACAACATCCCCCTGGTGCTGCAGTCTGTGGTGGGCTGGGTATGACACTCCCTGTTTATCACATCTTATTTATTGGGATAGGAGCCCTAAGAAAGGAGAGCAGGGCTTTATTTTGATGGCGTGTGAAGGAACATGACAGGGGATGATGGTGGTGGTCTGTGTTGGTGGACATCCCGAAGGAGTTGTTCTGGGTCTGGTGGGACATTAACCCACTTGAAAACAGCTGAGCTACAGCCTGGGGAGCAGAGAAGGAGGGGCAAGCAATGGACAGTGCTGTTCTCGTGGAAAATCCCTCTCTGCCATGTCTTTCCTGCAGAAGACGGTCCGGATGTACCCCTTCCAAATCCACAGCATCGCCCTCTCCACCTTCGCCTCCCTCATCGGGCCCTTCGGAGGCTTCTTTGCCAGTGGGTTTAAGAGGGCCTTCAAAATCAAGGTGAGGATGGGGGGGTCAGTTCCATTTTAGGAAGGGAAAACCAAATGGCTGCTGCCACTGGGAGCAGTGCCAGGAACAGCAGGGTGGTGCTCTGGGAAGGGAGGGGCATTTGTTCAGTCACAGATAAGATGGAGCAGGATCTGGGTTTTTTCGACTGAATGGGAAGAGACCTTAAAATTTCAGCTGTGATGTTCTAAACGCTGCTGTGGTGCAGAAACTGAAGTAGAGGAGGAAAGACCCAGCCAGGAAATTTTGCAATCTGAGGCTTCCCTTGATGTCAACAGGCTGTTTTTACATGTAAACGGTCTGTGATCAGTTAAGATGCCTTGAAAGGCAAGACAGGGTAACAGGAGATAAACAGCAGCCTTCCCTGACCTTTGAGTGACAGTTAAGCCTGGCTGTCCCTCAGGCACCAGCAGCTTCATACAGGAGAAACTTTTAAAACCAGGGAGAGATTAAACAAAATGTCTCCTTAATCTGACTTTGCCTTCTGGGAAGAACTGGAGCGCGGGGATGAGTGCCATGTGGGGAGGCACAGAAGCAAGTTACAGGTATTCAGAACTGCTCAATGCAATCCCTCTGCTTTGCTCAGGACTTTGCCAACACCATCCCGGGGCATGGAGGGATCATGGACCGCTTTGACTGTCAGTACCTGATGGCCACCTTTGTCAACGTGTACATCGCCAGCTTCATCAGGTCTGTGCTGCTCTGGGGGCCCTGCAGCTCCCAGGGCTGGACAAGCTGGGAATAAGAGGCAGTTTCCCCCTAGATTAACATCTAAAAATAACAAGACACAGAGGAAAGGCTTGAAGAAAGGAAGGATCTTTTAGTGGGGTCATGCAGAGCTGGAAACACAACCCTCGTTCCCTGTTATTCCAGTCCCACTGAAACTCCTCCTTCTGCATCCCTGTGAAGGTTGGACAGGGTCTCCAGAGTCAAACAAGCAGGGAAATCTAATTTTGTAGCATTAACAAGCATTCTGTAGCCAAGCACAGAAGAAAAGCTGTAGGTACATCAAAGATGTCTCAGGGAGCCGAGGAACTGTCTGTATGTGGCTGCTTGGATTTGTGAGGGGGAGCATCTGCTGATAAGATGCACAATCCTCTTTAAACACACTGGATTTGGGGTGTTATTTTGTGTTTACAGTTCAGCATCCCATGCCTTTTGAAATGATTTCCACATCCCAAATGGAGTTAAGCTCCCCCTGTAGAACTGGTGAGGGAATGGACAATGTGGTTATTAATTTAAGCCCATTATTTTGCTGAAATGGCACTTGAGCCCCCAGCTCACTGAGATTCAGCCACCTGCCTCACAGATAATGATGATTTTGTGTTTCAGAGGTCCCAACCCAAGCAAACTGATCCAGCAGTTCTTGACCCTGAGGCCAGACCAGCAGCTCCACATCTTCAACACGCTCAAAGCACACCTGGTTGACAGGGGAATTTTGGGGAGTCTGGAGGACGCGTAGGCACCAGGAGAGTGGGACAGGACTGAGCACAGACAGGCCTCCAAGAGGAAATCCCTGGCTTGCCTGATTTAAGACAATAACAAGGCCTCATTTCACTGTAACTTTTCTTCCTTTCTTGGTAAATGTTTGCATTTGTGGGTTTTTTTAAATAATATATTTATAGAGCTTTGGTTCAAACGAGCGAATCTTGGGTTTGGAGCTGAGGAGGAGTAAAGGTTTGGAAGGACTGCAGGGTGAAGCAGGAGGGTGGGACTGTCCTCAGGGACTGTTCTGAACCTTTGCAGTGTTTGGGCAGTGCTGAGCTTTTCCTGTGAGTGGGTTTTTGCAGGGAATACAGAGCGTTGTCCGTGTGGAGCTGGCAGGGAAGTGACTCCGTGCCCTCCCCTGGCTGCTGTGCCAGGCTGGTGGCAGCTCTGGGGACCATCCTTCTCTCCAGTGGGACCTGGGAATGCAATGGGAATTCTCCCAGAAAGCTGTGGGAATCTCCTTGCCCAGGCTCTGGTAGTTGGAAGAGGACCTTATACTAACCCAGCCCTGTTTCCTCTGCCCAGCCAGGCACCTGCAGCTGCTCTCACTTGCTGGTTTTTGCAGTGCCTCTCACATTCCCTCCTTTTGTGGCTGATATTTTGGCAAATGAGACTTTTGTAACTATTTAAACCAGGAACAGACTGGGGACAAGGAGCCAAGGAACTGGGAGTTGCGTGTGGGAATGTGGGAGGTTCAAATTGCTTCAAAACTGCTTGAAGTAAATAAGTTTTAAAGAACATTAAAGCTTCATTAATTCCTGCCAAGTAAGAACAACCCTTAAATAACTTGGTTCATTTTCCCCCGTTAAATAACCTTTAAGAACCACCCTTTTCCATTTCTTGATGGTTGGAACCCCCTCACTGGGATATTTTAAGTAATTTGGGGAGCAGTTTCCAGCCTGTTTTCTTGCTGGTTGGGCTCCAGCTCTGCTGGGGCTCCACTGGGAGTTTTGTTTTCTTTCAGGGATCATGTCTTTTTGTTACTTGAGTTGTAGATGTTGTGCTGCTGAGTTTACCACGGTCTATGTTGCATTTCAGTCTGGGTTCATTTCTCTGCAGGCTTCTGTCCTGCTTTGCTCACTGAATCTTGTCAGAAATAGTTTGTACTTAATAGCTGCAGGTTTTATTGAAGTACTTTCCTTTATTTTGTCATACTTTTTTATTATTTAAAATTGAGAGCCCTAAAGATTGTAAAACTTCTTTTTTTTTTTTTTTTTGTGCTCAGATAGCAAAAATATCCCCATTTCCACCTTATGCAATGTTCCCAAACACGAGGTGACTCTGATTTTCCTTCTTTCCATAGTTTGTGCATGGGAGAGAGAAACCTTACCTTATTTTAACCTGGGGAGGGGGTGACAGGGAGAGTTAATACAGAAGTACACTGGTGTTTTGCAGCAGTAGCTGACACAACCCTTAGGCACAGACCCCCCATAAGAGACCTGTACCTGCTGCAGCCTGGCTTAGCCTCGACAGAAAATAAACTGCCTGAAAATACCCCGAAATCACTTTTTCCTCCATATTCTGGTTCTGCCATTGCTTCCATTTCCCCCGAGTGTGCAAGAGAGCTTGTGTGTGTGTGTAAATATACTGAACAGATCCAGCCTCTCCCCTGCATTTCTGTAGGACCCTGTGCTGGGCTCTGCTTCCTCTCCCCAGACAGGACCCACAGGGCAGGAATTTGTACTACAAATGCAGGGATTTGATGGAAAGCACAGAGGAAGGGGCTGTTTCCAGGGAGTGTTTTCAGTGTGGTGCTGGCAAAGCTGCTGCACTGTTTGTGGTGTCTGTTCCTTCCCAGCTTGAATTAGGCAGGGATTTATTTTCTGTCCTCTTAGAGAATATTGGTCCAGGCCCCTCATTTGCAACCTGGAGAGGAGGCTTAAGGTGCTTCCACCTTGCTTTGCCCAGGGAGAATATTTGGGCTGTGTTTCATCACATTTTGGGTGATTTCAGCAAGGCAAAGTGAGGGCACCTGCCAGGAGCATCCATGGGAATAGGTGTGGGGGTGCTTTGTGCAGTCCCTGGATCATTTTGCCCTGTGGGGTTGGACCAGCTGGTTCTTTTCAGGGTTCCCCTGCCCACACCTGCCAAAACCCCTTGTGGGTACTGTGGGGTCACAGGCAGAGGTGATGGTGTTGGTAAATATTCCAAAAGTGTGCTCTGTTTATATTGAGAAGTTTTTCCACTGGGTCTTTAGTCTCCTGCTCGTCTGCTTTGACCCTTCTCTGTACCTCTTCAGTTGTGATTAGTGGGGCAAAACCCGACCCAAGGCTTTGCTTCAGGCTTTGCTTTGAGGCAGATCTGGGCCTTTCTGGAGGGTGCAAGTGCTGTGTGTGGGCACTGGAGGGCAAAGTGGTTCCGTTCAGAGGCTGCCCGGGCTGGTAGAGCAGCAGCAGCTCTGCCTGTGGGTGGCTTCCCTGATCAGCTTTATTCCTACTTCCTTCCCAGCAGTGCAGGAAAAGGGTGAACTTCCAAGCCTCTGCTGATCTGAAGGAGAAGGCTGAGTGGAAAGGGTTTAGTATCCTGCATGGAAGTTTATTAAACTGAGTGGAAACAGTGGAGCCACAGAGGAGGAAGGGAGGGAGATGGGGGTTGTTAAGGATATTTGCAAGTTGTACAGCTGGACTTAGAGAATCCTGGGATGCTTTGCGTTGGAAGGAGCCTGAAAGATGATTTTGTTCCAACCCCTGCCATGGGCAGGGAACCTTTCACTAGGCCTGGTTGCTCCAAGGCACATCCAGCCTGATCCTGAACACTTCCAGGGGTGGGGAGTTCACAACTTGCTGAGAAAAAATGAACAGCTGATGTTACTGGCCTTGGTTGTCCCTCAAGGGATGTGCACGTGGCCCCTCTTTTCCATTGTGTTAGGCCTTGCAGGACCTTGGTGATGCTGTTTGGGGGGAGGCTGATGTAGAGAGGCCAGAGTGACCCCAGGGATGGCTAGGAAGGAGATGCTCAAGGGATGTTTCTCCAGCTCAGGGCTCGAGCTCAGGTTGCACCGTAGTTTTGGTTCCCAGTGGGCTCCAGCACTGGAGAAGTTCCTCCTGCTTGTGCCAAACAAATAGGAAGAGCAGAGCAAGGGGGAGGTCCTGTGTCAGCTGGAATGTGTGCTTGGATTGAGAGGAAGAGGCAAGTAGGATTTGGCCAGTGTGGAGCTTCTGAGGGCAGGAACAGGCTGGTGTGGGAGCCACCCCTGCGCCAGTGTCACCAGAACAGGCAGAGAGGGATGTGGGAGTGTTACAAAGGGATGGCATGTGGCTGGAAAGCTGCTGTTGTGTGGAGTGAGGGGCTGGCTGTGCTGGGGAGGGCACTGAGCACCCCCAGCTCTGTTTGCCAGTGGATGGTTTGGGTGGAACTTTTGGTTTGGCTGGGTTTGATTCCCAGCCTGAGCTGGCACGGGCTGGGTCTGCAAGACAAGCACTTGGCACGCTGGGGTAGGAATTTGCTTCTCCACGTCTGGTTGTGTCCCAGATGAGTTTGCAGATGGGATGCAGGGTCAGCCCGTGGCCCAGAGTGCTCAGGGAAGCCCCAAACCTGGTTTGTGCAGTCGTGTTGTGTCCTGTGTGATCAGCCTGTGTTAAATAGATCCTTTGGGGTGAGGGGCTCAGCAGTGACACCAATTCCTGGGGTTCCTGGTGCCCCGTGTGGCTCACGGAGCTGGAGATCCCCCAGCATCACCTGAAGCTTGGCACCAGGCTGTGAGATGCCAGTAACATTTTCCAAGGGATGTCTCCTGTTTCCAGTATGTGCAGTGAGCTCCCGCAGGCCTGGCTGTGGTGGGATCCCACCCTCTCTGTGTGGGAGCAGGGCAGAGCTGTGTGTCAGCACCCAAACGGCCCCTCCAGCCCCTCCTGGCACAGGTCAGTCACAAAAGGCATCATGGGGAAGCTCCCAGGGTTCCTCCCTCCGTGCCCAGCCCTGGGGTGGCACTTTGTGCTGCTGTCATCCCTGTGTGCCCTGCTCTCCAGCCCTGGCGTGTCCCCACCATCGGCTTCTTTCTCTGTGCATTGTTCTTTTGGTTCCTGTTTTAGCTGCACACGTAGAGTTGCCTTCCTTTGACCGAATGTTCGAATGTGATATATTGTATATTTTAAAGTATTTACCCTATTTATATACTGTATGTTACTGTTAAATAAATATAAGTTCCATTATCTGCAGTGGAGTTTTATTTGGTGGGATGCTCAGACCTCCTTTCCATGCTCTGTAGAGCAGATCCATCTGTTCCAAACTCACATTCCCTCATTCCTTGCTCCTTCCTCAGGGATTTTCCCAGGAGCAGACCTGGTTTTGGCAAAGACACAGGTGGGCTGAGCACATGGGCAGGATTAGACCATCCATGTCCTGCATGAGAGACAGGAACAGCCACATTCCCAGCGGGATTTGCAGTGACCCTGGGGTCAGATCATCCAGGCCCTGTTTGATCAATGGTGAGGGAAGTGTTGGCACTGCTGCCCCTGTAAATCAGCTCATTTTACCCCAAAGATTTCACTGGGAATGTGAAGAATACTTAGTATAAATTATTCCTTCATTTCAGCCGTTTTTCCTGACCTGCCTGGGGTTGGGAGGGCAGAATCCTCTGTTTACCCAGAAAAAGGCTATTTTTAGCTCTGGTGTTATTTTGACTGTTTCTGACTTATCAGCTAAGCCAAACCAGCCCCTGAGCAGCCCTTTTACAGCTTCCTGTCACACTGTGTGGGCACTTGCAGACAAATTCATCCTCCAGCAGCACCACAACACGCTGCCCTCTCGATGGCAGCCGTGCAAAGTGACTCCAAAGCCCCAAATCCCACATTCCAGCGCCTCACACCCAGTTAAGCAGGAGCTTGCTGAGCCCCACCGTGCAATATTCAGCAATGGGTGATGCAATTCGAGGTCTTAAATGATTCCTTGCTGTTAAATCTGTTGGAGAATGGACTCTGAAGCCCTGAGGCAGCGGGGCTGTGCTGTGACCCTGCCGTGAGTCAGGCACAGCTGATGGGGCCCAGAGCCGTGTCAGCCCTTCAGCTGCAATCCCACCTTGTTTCTCCCCATCCCGGGCCAATTTAATTAAATCAAACATGGAAAACTGCACGTTCCCAGTGGAAATCCTGGTGCTGGCTGTTCTCCAGACCCAGACAGCCCATGAGCCTCAAACCAAAGCTGCCTCTGTATGACCCCTGTCCAGACACATTTTCCATGAGATCCTGATAGAAGAGGGTTGTAAAAACTAACAATGTTATGGGCTGAGATTTGCCTTTTTAAAGTTCCACTGGGGCATGGTAGGTTTAAGTGGGATATTGGGAAGAAATTCTTCCCTGTGAGGGTGGTGAGGGGCTGTGATGGAATTCCCAGAGAGGCTGTGGCTGCCCCATTGCTGGAAGTGTCCAAAGCCAGCTTGGACAGGGTTTGGAGCAACCTGGGCTAGTGAAAGGTGTCCCTGCCTGTGGCGGGGGTGGAATGAGATGTTCTTTAAGGTCCCTTCCCAGCCAAACTATTCCATGATTCAGCTCAGGAATTCAGCTTGATTGCTAATTAAAAAAGCAATCTTGTGTTGTCCTTTCCCAAACCCAGAGGCAGCCAGTGGGTGCCCGAGGGGCCCAGGCAGGAGGCAGCTGAAGGGGCTCTGGGGGTGCTGGGAAGGGCTGTTTTGGGGCGTCGGGGAGGGCTGAGCCCTGTGGTGTGACCGCAGCGCTGGGCTGAACGGCAGGATTTGGGGCTAAAACAGTTTCCGTCCTGGAGGAGGGGAGAGGACCATGTGACATCCTGCTCACACAGCGCGGTGGGAAAGGGCTGCTCCAGGCTGCTGTAAAAAGACCAGGCTGAAGGGAAAAAAGGATTCAAAATGTGTGAGCCCCTGGAGCTCCTGTAGCTGGCTGCTGATATTATTAAGAGGAAAAAACGGTGTTTAATTCAGGGCTCCTTCAGTACTCTCTGCTTGGGGCGCAGCAGAAAGGGAGCTGATTGAGGAGTTTGGGTCCTAAGCAGGATATTGGGTTAATCTCGTTCACTCTGGGCTGCTCTGCTGGGTTGTTCCACAGTGTCATGTTCTCTGGGCTCTGGGCAGTGGAATCTGTGAGCTGGGGATCCCTGAGCTGGCTCCAGTCACTGCCCAAAGCAACAAAGTGGTTTTTTGGCTGTGATTAACCCAAATTAGCCCAGCGGGTCCACCATGGTGTGACCTGGGCACCCAGTGCAGGCTCCAGCTCCTTCCTTTTCTCAACTTATGCTACAAGACTAAAAAAAACCGCCCTTGCAAGTGGCTCAGAGCATCCTGGGCACAACCCTAGGCTGGAAATCACAATAGGAACCAGTGGCCACGTCCTTGTTCGTCCCCTGCGCTCCCCCCGTTGCTGTTCCTGATTCTGCTTGGGGCAACTTCCCTCTCCACAAGGTCTGGGCTTTCCCAGGAGGGGGCAGATGGGGGCTGGAGCCTCTGTCAGGCCTTGGGGGAACCCTGCCATGGCCTGGAGCCCCCTCACTGCTCATTTGGGTGTTTGTAACAACCCTCCCGTGCCTCCTCCCTGCACCTCAGGAGCTGCAGCTCAGTCCAACCACATCCCAGGCTGCTTTGGGGATGCACAGCCAGTTCCTTGGAGGAAAACCAACACCAAGCAGGATACACCCACTGTTGTGGGCAGGGATTTTGCTTGATCCAGTGCTCCTGGTGTGTCCACATCCTACATTTGCCCAGAGAAGCTGTGGCTGCCCCATCCCTGCAAGTGTCCAAGGCCAGGTTGGACGGGGCTTGGAGCAACCTGGGCTAGTGGAAGGTGTCCCTGCCCATGGCAGGGGGTGGCACTGGATGGGCTTTGAGGTCCCTCCCAACCCAAACCATTCCATAGTTCTGTGAGCCCCTGGCCCTCACTGCTCGATCCCCACAGCCTTTCCTCCAAGAGCTGCCTCATTTCATCCCCATCTGGCTCACACTGCTGTCACAACGCGGGTGTAAAACCCTAAATCAGCTGTGGGGACTCAGCAGTTAATAAGAAAGATGAAAGGCCGCCGTGGTTTGCACGGGGGATGCACCAGGACAGGCACATCATCCTGAGCCACAGCCGGGTCTGCTTTGCTGCCGAGCAAAACATTTCCCGAAACTCCGGGCTGGGCCGTGTCCTCGGCGAGCGGCCCCGGCTGCCCACCGGCCCCGGCAGGCCCCACTTCCTCAAATGCTCCGAGCCGAGCGCGGGGAGCCCCGGGCAGCGCGTCCTGGGCAGGCCGGGCCGGGCCGGGCCCTCAGAGCCCTCAGGACAGCGGGCCGGGAGGGGAGCGCGCCGGGCATCGCCCGAGCGGCGTCGGGGCAGCCGGGGCAGAGCTGTGCGGGGAAGCGGGGCAGGAAGGTACTTTTATGGGGTTGTTCTCGGCCGCCCTCGGAGGGAGGAGGAAGTTCGTTGGCAAATCAAGCCCTGCCGAGCTGTTGCTCTTCGTGGGGGCATCAACCCCCGGCGCAGGATCCCCACGGGACCACCGGAGCTGCGGCTCAGCCCATCTCCTAAGCAAGCCCACCTTGGGAAAAAAAGAGCCCTTCCTGGTCCAAAATGTCCCTCAAGCTGCCACGGAACTGGGATTTCAACCTGAAAATGGACGCTGCAAAAATAGGTACCTTCGGTGTTTCCTCGTCGGGGTCAGTGTGCGGGGATAGGCAGGGGCTGTGGGGGGCTGTGGCCAAGCCCGGCTGCGATTGCAGCCGTGGCTTTGGAGAGGGGACCCGGCCCTCAGCTGCTGCCTTCGAGACAGTGGATGGTTCGCAGGTGATTTGCAAATGATTTGCAAGAAGTGATTTGCAAAGTTGTCCCCGAGGGCCGTTGCGGGAGCAGGGCCGGGGCTGTGGGGGGGGGACAGGGAGACCTGGCAGCGTGGGGCTGCTGCCCCTCCAAAATCCGGGCTCAGGGGGGTTTAAAGCACAGGGGCTCGTTCTGCTGGCCAAGCCTTGCAGGGGGAGCAGAGCAGGCCGAGGGGCAGCGGGACAGCACCGGCTGCAGGAAACAACCTCGCCCTGGCTCAGGGATCTGCGCCCACTCCGGCATCACTGCTTCCCTCTCACGGGGGCCAGGAGCCCTCTGACTCCCCTGGAACAGCCTCACCCTCTGACTCCCATGGAACAGCCTCACCCTCTGACTCCCATGGCCACGGAACAGCCTCACCCTCTGACTCCCATGGCCACGGAACAGCCTCACGCTGGGATTTCCTGACCCACCTCCCACCTCTGCCCAGGCTTTGCAGGGCTCTCATTCACCATTTCCAGCATGGGAACCACTTGGGAACCCCTTTGGGAAGGAGTGTGGGATCCCTGTGTGGGCTCTGAGGCAGGGCCTGGTCTGGGGTCAAGCAGCCAGAGAGGGGGTTCGGGGTGAGGATGGGTTGGTCAGGGAAGGGGCACAGGAGTCCAGCCTTGTGCACACACTGAGGCCAAGGCCCTCCGTGCTCCTGGCACTGGTGCCAAACTCGGCCCAGGCACACACTGGATTTCTCCCTGTGCAGAGGTTTGACCCAGCTGGTCTCTGCCGGGCTCTGCCTCCTCCCCACTGAGACAGATTCCAAGGCTGACCTGCCTGGATTTTCCTGCAAGGTTATTTCAATTTCTGCCCACTTTTCTGGGAGTGGCCAAACCCTTTCCTTCACACAGAGCCCCAGATGAAGGGGTGCAGCTCTGACTGGGCTGGAGACACCCAGTGATGGGCAGGATGAGACCTCAGGTGGCCCAGAAACTCAAGGAAGGCAAAGAAATCCCCACACAGTTATCACTGAAGCATCCTGGACTCCTGCATTGCCCATTCCCAGGATAATTCATACTTTTTTGCCCAGAGGCTGTGGAGAAATGGGTAAAGTCAATCAGCAGCTCAGAAAAAAAGGCCAGGGGACCCTGAGCCTGCAGGGGAGTGAAGGGTGGAGATGGGACAGAAGCTTGAACTTGTGTCGGTACCAGGAATTTCTTTTTTTCCAAGAAAATCTGCTTGTGATGAAATTCCTGGTGCTTTTTGCAGCCTCTAGCTGCTGTGAGCTGCTGGATGAGGGTGTCTGTGTGTATCTCCAGGGGTGCTGCGACTTTACTTGTGGAAATGTAAAGTCATATTTGCAAACATTTGCAATAATTGCAAATGAGCTGTCACTGCTCTCACTGGCTCCTCCTGGCTGTCCCCTCCTCATCCCCAGCCCTGGCAGTGGCACAGGCAGC